GGGTCACGACATTGTCTCGGCTACATGTAGCATTACAGGTTTTACTGAAGTGTCCACTTGGTCTCAGCCCGTAAGATGCAAAAGAAATTCACAAAGTGATTTCCAGTTATTTTGTATCTGGCGTTTGGTCAACAATGAGGGGATCTTTTTATCTCATGGTTACTCAATCACTTCTGTTGTAATATTCACTTAGCTTTATCACACGCATGGTCAATAACGCATGTTATCATATGCGATGAACTTTGCAATGTACCTCACGTGTGGAGAATAACATCTGTTATAGTATCTAGATGTCTTTATCTCATCTTGGTTCAATAATGTATGTATTGCATAATGCACTTTCTTTCAGTTCGCCGTGGAGATGTTCTAGCGGCCTGGAGCGGGATTCGGCCCTTGGTTATCGACCCCAACTCTGAAAACACAGAATCCATCGCTCGCAACCATATTATTCTAGTTAGCAAAAGTGGACTGGTTACCATAGCCGGCGGCAAATGGACAACTTACCGATCCATGGCCCTGGAAACGATGGAGGCTGCTATAAAAGCGTGCGGGCTCACACCAGCTAGGGAGTGTCAAACAGACGGACTTTTTCTTGAGGGAGGGGAGGGTTATTCACCGAATGACTTCATACGACTTGTGCAAGACTTTGGTCTCGAAGTGGAGGTTGGTAAAATTCACCTAAGTGCTCTTGAAAGTCAGGAGTGACTTGCACCATTTCCAAGGAGAGTTTCTTTGTTTATCTCTCGTAACTTTTTCATATTATGTTCCTATACAGATTGCGAAACATCTCTCCCACACTTACGGCGATAAAGCAACGGAAGTAGCCAAACTTGCTAACATCACCGGGCGTCGTTGGCCAGTTTTAGGGAAACGCCTCTTAGAGCAATTTCCGTACATTGAGGCAGAAATAAAATACGCCGTGCAGGAGTACGCGTGTACTGTGGTTGATTTCCTCGCCCGAAGAACGCGTCTAGCGTTTCTAAACGCGCAGGCTGCCGCAGACGCCATTCCGAAGATTGCCGATATCATGGCGAAGGAACTAAAGTGGTCCAAAACCAAGAAGGAGGTAATCGATGAATAAACGGAAGAAAGACTTTTTTGCACTCTTGGGTAAAACCCTATTGCACGAGAATTGGAAGAAAACCCATAATCAAAAAACTAAGTCCTCCTATCTTTTCATTTTCGTTCCATTTTTAAGGACGTTTACTTTAGAATGCAACGCTTAGACAGCTTTAAACTCCTACTGGGTGATCCTTTTCCCAAACCAACTTTTGCCTGTCACGAAATTTTCAGCTGAAATCCCTTCAACCCTGAACACCTTAACAGTAAGTATGCATATTCCCATCTGTTCGTCTGTCTTCCAATAGAGCACGAGTAAGAACCAATCAAATTGAAACATTTCACTTTGCAGGCTGAGATAGCAGACGCTAACAAGTTTCTCGAAGCCATGGGATTAGAAGTTCTCGACAACGTTCGACGCGTGGAGGTCAATTTCAAAGAGGCCGAAGTCAAAGAATACGAAAAAATTTTCCAAAAAGCCAACAAATCAAAGCAAGGGTGTGTGACCTCAGTCGACTTAAGGAACATGTTGAAAACAATGGGTGAAGATGTATCAGAGGAACATCTCCATGAAGTCATAGCAGAGGTGGATACCAACAGAAATTCTTGTGTCGAACTGGATGAGTTTTTGCAGGTAAAAAAGTATTTTCAGTCAACCAACCGTTTACGTCCCAACATCAGTGGGCATATTCCTCATAGCAATTTTAATACATTCCCTAAGATGCTCACAACGAGAATTTGTTTAACAATCAAGAGCTTCTTTAGTTGGTGATCATTTTCTTTATTCACGTGGCCTTAAATGCCCGCTTCAGGGGTGATATTGTAATGAGAAATTACATGTTTGTCACTCTTAAGGGGATAGAGGGTTCAGGATTATTCATGCCGTTTCGTTCAAACTGTTTCTTCCCATGTTTATCGACTCATTATTTCGTTCTTTAGTCCGTTCAATATTTCATTTATTCGTTCGTTATTCCTTTTCATTTCTCTTTGAAAATCAGGTTCTCATTTTTTCTTACAAGGCCTCCTACTTCCCATTTTCTCTTCTCCTACCTCATTAAATCTTTGATGATGTCCCATCCAAACATACAGATCTTAACGCCAGCGAGGTCCATGCGAATTGTAACTTTTCTCTGAAAAAAGCTCTCGGTGCAGCTGTTACAGTGATAATATCTGATGCAATACTTACTTCTAGCTACTTGCATCAAGAGCTGAAAGAATTACTATTTATTTCTTTGCTTCAGGTTATGAGCGCTATCAAGACCGGAGCTGTCGCCAACAATCGTTTTGCCGTCATTATAGATCGTCATCATAAACATTTGACACGTGAGATTCCCGTGGATCGTAGCGGCGGCGGGCTATGACGTCGTCGGTTAATTCTTTGAGCCAGTGCGCCTTTTTTCGGTGCCAAATTACCCCGCGATTTATTACTGACCATTCACTTCAGTGGTAAAGTGCGGTGACCGCGTAAATATGTAGCCAATCAGGCACTTTTTTTCTTTACTGAAATAATAGGGAAATAAATCAGGAAAGAATGGAAAATTAGCAAATTATGTGAACAAGGGGAACGAAATCCTTAGAACATAGGATGTCGCATGAAAGCACCAATTTCACGTCAGTCGATGAAATACAAATTTTTGTACACAACGTAATAAGCGTAAAATTTTACGTGCGACCTACGGTCATACAAGGGAGGAAGAAAACTGTTTTGTTTCTGAACAAGAAGAGTTTTTCTCGATTAAACTATAATTTTATTAATTAATCAACCATAATATGAATGGTGATAAGTTAAATAGTTATGTTATTCTGCTCTAAACATGCCTTTTTCTCCTCTTCCGAATAACAAAAGCACAGTTTTTTCTTTTCATTTGATTTTGGGCTCTCACTTTGTTAAGATATGCTCGTACATGCATAAATTATAGCAAGAAGAAAAAGGCTATTTATAGGTACGTGAACCACGCTAAGCGAGAAGTTGTATTCTAGTTGTAGCAATAAAAATGTCTGGTGTTTTTGTGTTAAATGTTTAATTGAATTTCAAGTGCAGCAGAACTTGTAACTAGCGCCATAGGCGAAAAATTATCACCGATGGTATACGCGGGAAAAATCATGAGTGACAAGCGCGGGAAAACGCGAGTAAGTCAAGTCACATGTTTTTTTCGGCGAAGTCTGTCACTTATGCAAATGTTATGGTTAAAAAAAGTGATAAAAAAATCACTAGGTTCTTTTGAAAATTCGGAATCCATACAGAAATTAAATTTCATCCTAGCAGTTTATCTGGTTTGCTCATCTTCAACATTTAGAAAACAAAATTTGTGTGTAATACCAAGATGACGCAGTGGCTCTGGTAGAGTTTGATCGGAAGGTTATCAGCTGGCTCTCCGTTGGGCATTATTTTGTAAAGTAAGCAAGCAGGTTGCGAATTTACATTACGCCTTCTTACATAATTTTTTCTCTTTCTTTGGTTTTAAAACACTTGCTTATAAGACTTTTAGACTTAAAAATATCTTGCTCGAAATAGCTCCAAAAAAATAGATTTACACTTCTTAAAGGAACATGATTTACGTCCAAGTCAAAACCGGAAAGTAATTATGTACACCAATCGAGTTATTCTGTTCATTAAATCAAGATACAGTCTTAAACTTTACTCGCTCTGTTCTTCGTCTGTGTCTTCAAATTCTATCGTTACATCATCTCCGATGAGAACAAATGGAGCCCAGTACTTCACGGCACTAAATCTCTTCGTTTCTCGAAGATATTTCATAGATTTGTTCAGAGCGGTGCTCACAGTATCGCCATCTCTGAGATGCTAATAGAAATCTTTCATGAACTCCATTGTAGCCTCATCGCCAGCTGCCCACAGTGTTGCCAGAAAGGAACGAGCGCCAGAAACTAAGGAAGCCCGCGCAATACCGACCACACCCTCGGCAGAAACTGTCCCTCGACCACTGTTACCACAGCTGAGCACAACGGGTCTTGCACGTAGCGTCAGAACCTGGACATCTGCCACTTTCAACAGGAAGTCGTCTTCTTCGGGCTTCATGGATTTTCTTGAAGGATTCGGAGCCAAATAAATCTCACCACTCTCCATTCTCCCATACGCTGCGGTGTGCACTGAAGCAACTGATGTGATGCGCTTTAGCACCTCTTTTCTAGTTGCATCCTTTCCACGAGTGGTGTGGAATCGATGATGTCTCCGATAATCGTTACTTCCCTTCTAGCGCCTGGCAATGGTTGTAGTTTAGGCTTGCCATCGAGATATGTCATCTCTTCGAGACATGGATCACCCACAAGCAGCCCACCTTTCTTACAGTGGTAGTTGTCAGGGCTGTCCTTGATCAGCTTCAAACTGTGAAGTGACGGAGCAATGCGGATCCTGAAAGATTCACTGAGGTACTTGGAATCTTCGTCGACAAATGCTGCAAACGGAACCAGACATAGTGGTCCTTCGGGAACAATGAGTACTTCATCACCTTTTAACTTGACTGCAATGGGGCTAATGACAGTATCATACAACAGCCGCAAAACATTGTTTTTATCTTGTAGTGACTCTGACATTTCAGGACGAGATTCTTTGTCTGGCGGCGACTCATTTCGAAGCCCATGAGGCGGTGAACTGTCTTCAGACATTCCAGGACAAGAGCCTTCGTCAAGATGCCATATGTTTGGCTTGAGTGCATCCAACGAACGATCCTCGCGGATAAAGCGAACAGCAGATTCATTCTCTTCGAAAGCTTTTCCTTCCAAACATTTCAAGCACAATGGACATGGACGATTCTCGAACCTGTAATCGTGTTTTGCTTCCTTTTGTCGAAATTGAACTTCCTCTCCGTTGCAAGCAACCCATCTATTGACTTTCTCTCCATCCAGAGCGATAAAAACTATTTGTGTGGATACTAAGAGCTCCATGTCAGGCTGTTCTGATGTCCAAAACGGAGGTAGTTCCATTCCATATTGTAGCTTCATGCGATCCGTCCTTGACCAGCAGCACACAAAGCCTCGCCAAAGTTTGAAAGCTTCACCAGAGCTTTGTACAGGGACGAGTATAGAGCTTGTGTATAACTTCGAAAGCCCATTTTCCACGCATCTTCAGACTGAAGGTTATCTTTCGTATAATTGCACAGCCTCAGGCCGGACCGATAACTTTCCACAGCTTTATGACGAAAATTTAAATTTTCCATCGCAGTATCAAGCTTAAAATGTGCTTGGGCTTCTACGACCTTGCTTCCGATTTTTTTTGCAATGGCAACACTTTTGATAGCGTATTCAGTAGCCCCCTTTAAATTACCGTGCTAACCAAGCGCTTCACTCAAACCGCCGTAAGAGCACGCTTCCCCGTTTCTGTCTCCCTCTTCCTTGGCAATGCTGAAATGTTGGCGGAAGTATTCCAGGGCTTCCGTAAAATCACCACGCTTTAAGTGAACCTGCCCGAGATGGCAACAAGAAAGTCCCTCGTTATGTCTGTTGTTAACTGTCTTAGAAATGACGTGTTCCGTATCGAAATGATCTTTCGCTGTGCTAAACTTACCAGTATTTAAATAAAAACGTCCCAGACAGCTATAAGAACGGCCTTCTTCTTCTCTATTTCCAACCTTTTTAGCAATGGAAAGAACTCGAAATTGCTGGTAATACTCTTCACCAAGCTCAAATTGTCCTAGAGTCGTATAAGCCTCTCCAAGATCACGACAGCAAATCCCTTCTAAATTGCAGTCTCCTATTTCTCGAGCAATTTTTAGACCCTCTAAGTAATACTCCACTGCTTGTTTAAAATCGCCGTGACGTTCATAACATGTGCCAAGGTTGATGTTTGCTATTCCTTCGTCAGCCTTGTTGTTAACTTCTCTGACGATAATTAGAAAATGCTTCTCGTACTTTACGGCTTCTTTACCATCACCGAGGTCCCAATGAGCCCTGCCAAGCATGTCGTAAACCTCTCCTTCTGTAGCTCGATCACCCATTTCTTTAGCAAACATCAGAGATTGGTTAAAGTATGTTACGGCCTCTTTAATTAAATTCAGGTCCCTACGAACTGTGCCAAGCATGCAGTACACCTCTCCTTCTGAAGCCCGATCTCCCATTTCTTTGGTAATGATTAGAGATTGGTTGTGGTATGTTATGGCTCGTCTAGAATCACTGAGGAGAAGATAAGTGACTTCAAGTTTTCTGAACACCTTTCCTTCTGTAGCCCGATCACACATTTCTTTGGAAATAATTAAAGAATGGTTGTAGTGTGTCACAGCTTCTTTACAATCCCCGAGGCGATCATAGGCGTCGCAGGCGGAACACATCTTGTTCTTTAGCCCAATCACCCATTTCTTTGCTAATAATAAGAGACTGGCTGTAGTGTGTCACTGCTTCTCTACAATCCCCGAGGCACTCATAGGCGTCGCCAAGCAGGCGGAACACATCTCCTGTAGCCCCATCATCCATTTCTTTGGAAAATATCAGAGATTGGTTGTGGTATGTTATGGCTTGTTTAAATTCACCGAGGCGATGATCAGCGATGCAAAGCGTGGCGACTATGCAGCCTGTGCAATTTCAGGCGTCTTCGTGCTTGGCAATATTAAGACCGTATAGTAAGTAATCTTATATATGCACGATCCTTCGCAGTAAACTGCTCCCAGTTGGCTTGTTAGCTCAATTGGTAGAGCGCTGCACTAGTATCGCAGAGGTCAGTGGTTCGAATCCCGTTCAGGCCTGAAAATTTTTTTCAGGTCTGATACACTATTGCTCAAATAGTGCTTTACTGCGAAGGATCGTGCATATATACGTTTCATAACCGCAGTTCATACATATGTTCATATGTTTGTTGTTGTTTGAGTAAGTAATCTGTAGCTTGTTTGAATCACCATGCACAGCATACACTACACCGAGTCCCATGCAGGCAAATATTTCTGTCTCCTTGTCTTCGCGCCCATTTCTTGCCTCTGCGTCTTAGTGCTTGACAATATAAAGACATTGCAGTAAGTTGTCTCTTGCTTGTTTGAAATCATCAAGCTGAAAATACGCTGCACCGAGTCCGACGTACGCCTCCATTTCTGCCTCCTTGTCACCACTGTGTTTTGCATCGATGAGAGCTTGCTTCATTATCTCTATATTGGGTTAGAAGTTTTTGCTGCCATGTTTCAACTTGTGCCTCAACCAGTAAAAGTCTTAAAGGAAAGATACAATGAAGTGTTGTGGGCATGCGTTCATGATCAGGTTTAAAGTTGACTCGGCAGAAGATTAAACTCTAAAAAGAAACCTTCAATCAGCGGCTACTTCATAATCAGAGAAAAGGCATCCTCGTAATGAAGGCAACAGATTCAAAAGCTTCTTTTTTCTTTTAGGAGATTTCCCCCGACTTAAGTGTCTTTAAAGACAGATTGTACTTTTTTAATCTGCTGAATTCCGGGGAGGTTCTAATACAGAACTTACAAATAAGAGGAGCTATTAGAAGAAACTTGTGATTAGGTGAACTTCACGTTACCGAGAATTTAAATAACCAGAAACATGTGAAAAACATGTCGTGATTCTGTGCTTCGCCACAGTCAAGAGTTTCATTAAAAAATTATAACCGCCTTTAATGAACTACAGCACCCCTCTACGTAGCAATATCTCAACGTTAAACAAAGGATAAAAATGTAAACAGCTTTTCAGCTTGTTACTTACCAACGATGAAAAAACTCGAGTTCCAAAGAACTGAAATGCAAGACCAGAAACTGCCAAGTAGACAACCAACAATTCACTTTAGGTAACTCTCAAATGATCACAGTTTTATATTGTCGATTTTGGAAAGTGAAAAACATGTTTTTGTCGAAAAAACCCCATCATTACTTTATTTTAGAGATAATGTTCACTATTTTAGTTTCTTATTTTAGTGATGTTTCCTTCCATTATTGTGATGATCTGAAAATGAATGCAAACATATTCATTGGTGAATTCGGATTTAGGAACTGAAACTGCCCGCGTAAACAGAGAGGAATATTGCACGTTTAAACCTTCTCACTAACATCATTACATTCTTCAGCCAATAAGTGATGAGAATATGCCTAAGTATTATCGCAAGTGTGGTGTATTTATTTAACACCAAATTCCCGTTACCATTTTGTAAGGAAATGTGAGTAGCTAGTAAGGAGAATTTCGAATCAGATTTGGGACTCAAAGCAAAGAAAATACAAACTAATATAAGAGTGGTTGGGTTCGGAGAGCTTGTTGATTCAGCGATCTCAAAAGTTGCACAGCAGTTGTCTTGTATATTCACAAAACACTTGATTTGATTTGGTAGAAAATGTCGCAACGAGACAACATCGAAAGTCGGTACAGCCAGGTTTGAAAGAATTTGGAGATAATTCAGAATATCAATGAGTTGACTTATTTTTAAAAGCGGAATGTTTGAGAAATGTTTTCATTTTCGGTTAGATTCAAAACATGTAGCCACGGCTACCATAGCTTCGTTTTGCCATAGGATCAGCCGGCGAGGTTAGACGTAAATTCTTTTAGGTACAATCTCACAAACGAAAACTAACCAAACATATACTAGCGACAAAATATGAAATAAATGTACCAGAATTACGTATAATTCACGTGATCACATGGATGTTCAGTATGAAAATTGGATGCGTACTTCTATTTCGAAGAGATTCGTCATTCCCCACTCCGGAAAAATGTCGCCGACTTCCTTGATTTCTGTTTAATTTCCTAGAAAATAGCGAGCGCACAGAAGAAAATATAGCCTTTTGTAACACAATCTTATCCGAAACATCAATCTTAGCCAAACAGCAAGAACATACAGATGGGGAAATGACACCTATAAAACTGATCCTTATTATCGCAAAGGAAAGTCGTCAAGAGATATCCTAATGAGAGCTAAACTCTGAGGGTACAAGATTAAAAGCTCGAGCGAACAGAAGGGGACGCACAGACTCATCAACACTTTTCAACGGTCGACTGCCTTTTGCCTTCCGGCTTTCCGGCGTGTCGCCTCACGCACGGTAGAGGTTTTCATGGATCAAGTGACTCTTTCAGTGCTCTAATTAAACTGTCCATCGTTCAAAGATCAAAATAGAAGATTTACCACACAACACTCGCGATTAGTTAATTTTCCTCCAATGCGACACAACACGCTAAACGCAACAATGGGCCTTTTCACTCCATAAAAGAGTCTCAAACACCATCACTTAAAATGTGTAAAATATTTGTACCGTTGGAGCGCGTTTGAGCCCGTTTGGCCAAACTGTTGGAGAAGGATCAAAAAGGCCATACAAATCTTTGAAAGGCTTCAAACTACTATGACGTACAACGAATTTCACCTCGTAAAACCGGTCTCAAATTACATGCTAAATAACAGTGCTTGCGTTTGTCCTTGAGAACGATAGAATACGCGATAAATACGTTCGAAAGATACTTCTACACATTCAGAATATATCAAATTATATTTATCTGTACTGAAAGGAAAAAGAAACGGCCTAACTTGTAGGGAATGTTCAGTCAAAATCTTCCGATTCCTGCCGCTTTTACCACCATATTAAAACTAGTAACGCTACCACAATGCAATGTAATCGGAGTGCGCACATCGCCTGGAGTTGGGTCATAATAGGAACTGTTTGAAATCACTAATTTGAGTTTCTTACCCTAGTTCTTCCTGCGAAATAAATATAGAAATTATGAGATTTAAAAGTGGTGACGTGTAAACATTTTGGATCAAATGAAAACAAAATAAAAATTTTACTTTATTATTAATTAATTTCTTGAGGTAAGTTACAAGAGGTTTGATAATTGCGAGGAGAATAACGCGGTAATAAAGATTTAATACATCATTATCATGAGAAGGTGCGTAGCTGGGGCAAGGCTGAATATCTATATCTTATATGAGAACGATCCTTCGCAGTAAAGCACTATTTGAGCAATAGTGAAAATCAGACCTGAAAAAAATTTCAGGCCTGTACGGGATTCGAACCACTGACCTCTGCGATACTAGTGCAGCGCTCTACCAATTGAGCTAACAAGCCAACTGGGAGCAGGCCATCAAATTAATTCGATATAAACCCGTAGATGATAAATCAAACAACAACAAACATATGAAACATATGTGTGAACTGCGGTTATGAGACGTATATGAGAACGATCCTTCGCAGTAAAGCACTATTTGAGCAATAGTGAAAATCAGACCTGAAAAAAATTGTTAGCTCAATTGGTAGAGCGCTGCACTAGTATCGCAGAGGTCAGTGTAATATTATAGGAAGAAGCAGGACGAGACAAATACAAACGTCAACAGAACGACAGGTCTTTTTTAATCGAGATGGCGGATCTCTCTCCATGTGCTAGTCACGTGACATACGTACACATGATACACAGGGATGCCATACTACAGTCAGTGGTTCGAATCCAGTACAGGCCTGAATTTTTTCAGGTCTGATTTTCACTATTGCTTAAATAGTGCTCTTTACTGCGAGGATCGAGCACAAATACGTTTCTATAACCGCAGTTCAGATATATGAATTTCATATATTCGTTGTGTAAGATTTTAACTACACACAACAGTCTACAATCCAGTGCAGAAAGTAGAAATTTGACTACATGAGAGTTGACATTAAAAATGTTGGAATCATCACATACAACATAATCTCCTCAAAGTTCTGTTAGTAAACCAGAATTTCATAGACTTCTGTACTTGAAGTGCAAATTAAAGCATCAAATTAACAAAGATTAATGTGCATTGTTATATTTTAAACTGCGGATATTGCATCTCTAGTGTTCTGATTGTTCACTCAGCTCCGGTAATCAGCTCATATACCGAATCNACATATGTTTCATATGTTTGTTGTTGTTTGATTTATCATCTACGGGTTTATATCGAATTAATTTGATGGCCTGCTCCCAGTTGGCTTGTTAGCTCAATTGGTAGAGCGCTGCACTAGTATCGCAGAGGTCAGTGGTTCGAATCCCGTACAGGCCTGAAATTTTTTTCAGGTCTGATTTTCACTATTGCTCAAATAGTGCTTTACTGCGAAGGATCGTTCTCATATACGTCTCATAACCGCAGTTCACACATATGTTTCATATGTTTGTTGTTGTTTGATTTATCATCTACGGGTTTATATCGAATTAATTTGATGGCCTGCTCCCAGTTGGCTTGTTAGCTCAATTGGTAGAGCGCTGCACTAGTATCGCAGAGGTCAGTGGTTCGAATCCCGTACAGGCCTGAAATTTTTTTCAGGTCTGATTTTCACTATTGCTCAAATAGTGCTTTACTGCGAAGGATCGTTCTCATATACGTCTCATAACCGCAGTTCACACATATGTTTCATATGTTTGTTGTTGTTTGATTTATCATCTACGGGTTTATATCGAATTAATTTGATGGCCTGCTCCCAGTTGGCTTGTTAGCTCAATTGGTAGAGCGCTGCACTAGTATCGCAGAGGTCAGTGGTTCGAATCCCGTACAGGCCTGAAATTTTTTTCAGGTCTGATTTTCACTATTGCTCAAATAGTGCTTTACTGCGAAGGATCGTTCTCATATACGTCTCATAACCGCAGTTCACACATATGTTTCATATGTTTGTTGTTGTTTGATTTATCATCTACGGGTTTATATCGAATTAATTTGATGGCCTGCTCCCAGTTGGCTTGTTAGCTCAATTGGTAGAGCGCTGCACTAGTATCGCAGAGGTCAGTGGTTCGAATCCCGTACAGGCCTGAAATTTTTTTCAGGTCTGATTTTCACTATTGCTCAAATAGTGCTTTACTGCGAAGGATCGTTCTCATATACGTCTCATAACCGCAGTTCACACATATGTTTCATATGTTTGTTGTTGTTTGATTTATCATCTACGGGTTTATATCGAATTAATTTGATGGCCTGCTCCCAGTTGGCTTGTTAGCTCAATTGGTAGAGCGCTGCACTAGTATCGCAGAGGTCAGTGGTTCGAATCCCGTACAGGCCTGAAATTTTTTTCAGGTCTGATTTTCACTATTGCTCAAATAGTGCTTTACTGCGAAGGATCGTTCTCATATACGTCTCATAACCGCAGTTCACACATATGTTTCATATGTTTGTTGTTGTTTGATTTATCATCTACGGGTTTATATCGAATTAATTTGATGGCCTGCTCCCAGTTGGCTCGTTAGCTCAATTGGTAGAGCGCTGCACTAGTATCGCAGAGGTCAGTGGTTCGAATCCCGTACAGGCCTGAAATTTTTTTCAGGTCTGATTTTCACTATTGCTCAAATAGTGCTTTACTGCGAAGGATCGTTCTCATATACGTCTCATAACCGCAGTTCACACATATGTTTCATATGTTTGTTGTTGTTTATCTATATCTTATTAACCAAGCGCGAGGGCCGTACTGAGAGAATATCGGCCCGAGGTCTTGACAGTACGGACCTCGCTGCGCTCGGTCCGTACAAGAAAGACCGAGGGCCAATATTCTTCCAGTACGGTCCCGAGCAAGCTTAGTTAATAAGAGATTTATTACACGACTGAAGTTGAAAGGGAGACAAGTGCGGTATCATTCGAGACCATTCGAGACAGTGCCCGGTCCAATAATGAGAGAATATTGACCGGCAATAGAGCATTTTGATTGGTTGATTTTAGTTATTGGCCCTCTGACTTCCCGAGTCGTGTAATAAATCGTTTGTAACAACGCTACGCAATAACAATTTCATTTCCGAACCGCGTACTTTTCAGTAAATTTAACGACAGCCATTTCAACTTTACAGCTATCAGTAAGTTTTTGAAACGTTCTATAATATGCAAGCTTACATAATCACAAATTGCCGCTTTTGACATCGATTACGTCAGTTTTTTGTAATCAACGAAACCATTTGGTCCTACTAAAAATGTTGTCGCACTGTACAGTTTGTATATCTTTACTAGGCCGGAATCCGTATATCAATATTTTGGCAGTCAACTACATTTTAAAAATAGTCACCATCCTTCACGTGTCTTTGTAAGCAATAACTTATACGCTTGAATCGATATTTGTTCAGAAAACAATACCTGAGGAAAAATAATCAAACACATGGCCACACCGAATGTGTGCTGCTTCGTTTATCGTCTTCTGATTTCCTTAAACGGTTTCTTTAACCACAAGGGGCCCATACAAGCGGCGTGTCTGGTCGTTTGTTCGAAATATAAAGAAATGTATGCGAGAATATTAAGAGTCGTAATATCGTAAACTTATATCAAGGAATGTCTATGTTAAGGCTCAAAATAAATGTAAACCTATCTCACTTGCTGTGTATTGTCGTTTCTGTGGTTCTAAATGGCGAATTTGAGCGATTTGGTAGATTTAGCGTTGAGTGTTGCTTTACTGTATAAGTTCCTTGAATTCAGTTTCGTAGTGTAGTGATGTCACGAATGTAATGATTAAAAAAAAAGAGAAAACAAACAACCGAAGTTTACAAGTAACAAAATCGACTATTTTGATCAGGCCCCAGATTTGTAATTACGCAATTTGGAAAGGGTTTTTAAGCAAGGTAAAAATTATTCACCGGCAGATGCAAAAAGAAAGATAAAAACCACTCACCTTTATTTTTGTCAAAACTGCGTCATGACATCCTCGGACATAAACTATGTAATGCACTTTTACCGTAACACTATGATGTTCCCCTTCAAAACGAAGGGGAAGAAAGCAGTATGTTTGCTTTGAGACTTGCTTATATGTACCTTTGTCGCAAAAGAAATTGTTTCAATAAAATTTGAGTTAGAACGAGTCATACTCAAAAGATAACTTTCAAATATTTTTAACTGGTGTATTTTTTAAAAAAATTTGACTAGGCATAGTTTAAAAATTGGATTCTGACGAAAACGTGGCTTTAAAAAAATCGATGTTTACAACGGGGCTTAGCGACAAAACAATTTTCTCCGTTTTTCTTCCTTTTGTCATTGGATTGAATTCGCAATTCTCCATTCTAGCTGTCACACAGTATAAAAAAGTTAAAAGAATTTGTTGTTATATCAGGGGCCGACCATTTAACCTTTGAAG